GGAGGAGTGGAGAATCAAACCCGGTTCTCCCAGATTAGAGTCCGCGCACTTAACCACTACACCAAACTGGCTCTCAATAGTAAACTTCTAAACCTCAGTAGTAAACATGTAGCTGGAGGTGGAGAGTGCTGTCAAGTCGCAGCTGACTTATGGCAACCCTGTCCAGTTTTCCACGCAAGATATGAACAGAAGAGGTTTGCAACTGCCTGCCTATGTGTAGCAACCTGGGCTTCCTTGGTAGCCTCTCATCCAGGGCCAACCCAGCCTGTCTTCCGAGGCTGGGCCAGTCTGGGCCATCCAAATCGGGGCAAAAACATTTAGCTAACAACATATCAATTGGTAAACATGACAGTTCCACTGTGAAACTATTATTGCAACTGAATAGCCAAGCTTTCACATGATCGTTCAAACAGACGGCACCGCAGTGTCTGGTACTAACTTTCATTTATTGTACCTGTGGCTGCGAAAGCATGTCCAGGCTCCACGAACAGATCTTTCCATCAGTTGAGATGCTGATGAGGTTATGAGCATTCTGTGTCCCAACCACATTCACACAGTAGACAGGATGCTAAAACAAAACAAAACAGTGGACAACAGAGATTCACAAGGTCTCTCGGAATAATTTACAGACGCTTCAATGAAAATGGAGGGGGGGGGATCAGTGCACTGCTCTCTAAAACTACCATTCAGGTTACAGTGAGAGAAAGGACAGTATTTGGATACTTTAACCACTGCTCCCTAACATGGAGTGCCTGATTTCTGCCTGACAACAGAAGCAGCAGCAGAAGACTGGATTTATACCCCCCTTCACTATCCGAAGGAGTCTCGCAGCAGCTTACAATCTCCTTTCCTTTCCCTTCCCCACAACAGACACCCTGTGAGGCAGGTGGGGCTGAGAGAGCTCTGAGAGAACTGCTCCTGAGAGAACTGCTCTGAAACAACTTGTAACTGACCCAAGGTCACACCAGCAGCTGCATGTGGAGGAGTGGGGAATCAAACTTGGTTCTCCCAGATTAGAGTCCACGCTCCTAACCACTGCAGCAAACTGGTTTTCGGATCATCCATAAATGGGGAGGAGAGGGGGACAAAGGACATCAGCTAACATAGTGCAATAAGGAGGCTCAAACGCATAAGACACTTTATCCATAATCCCCAAGCCAAAGCATTGCTGACGGAGCTGCTCAGCAAGGCAGGCTGCCTGTTACAAGCAGAGTGTAACTTCTGTGCATTCGGACTTCACCCCAGCAGAATGCTGCTCTTCAGGGGTGTGGGTGGATGACTGAAGGCACGATCCCCTGTCAAGTGCAGATAACCTACAGCACTTGAAGCCTGGAAGGAACACTCATGACTATGAGTGGGAATACTATAGAACTGAGAAGTGGTGTCCATTTACAAGGCAAAGAGGGTGGCTAGATCAGGACAAATCTCTGAAGGGGAGCTTAATGCAAATAAGGCTGTGGATTCATGGTTTAAAGAAGAGATGCACATTATATAGCTGGCTGCTATAAAAGATTTCTTAATATAGAACATTTTAAAGAGAAGCAGTCCCAAATGAGTGAACTCCAAATATAACAACAGATCATCACTTCTCACCCTAAGCCAACAATGACCTACATAAATGGGTTAATTTGTGAATAAGCAAGTGCTTTTTTTGTTGAAGATCTTCCACCCCCTACCGTGTGAGCGGCAGCTGAAAGGGGGGTCCTCTGAACCGGAGTTCGCTTATTGCTGCGGTTATCCCACAGCACAATTTGCCCTGAATATGTGCCACCGACCACCAGATTGGGATGAAATTTTGCAAATGTAGCAGACATGACAGCTGACTGTAAGGGAAACAAAGAACACACATGTTATCTATAGTATGGCTACCCACGGTTTTCCGAGTGACATTGAGACCTGGATAAGGGGGGGGGGGGGGGGAAGGTAACTTAGTTTAATGAACAAGTAATTAAAATGGTAGCAGAAACTTTTGAAACTATACAACAGTACAGTATCACATGACATGCAGTTCAGTGCAATGTCACGTTATGGGCTGTTGGATCCACAGTCTAAATTTTTCACCAGCAGAATGGAACCCTCCTGTCTCCCTCCACCCACTGCAGCTGACTCATCTCCATAAAATGCTACTGGGGGGGGGGGAATCTAGTTAAATGAACTTTCAGAATTATGACACTTTCCAAAAATTCCTCCATTTCAGGCATGAGATAGCGAACCAGACATGTACACATTTACTTCCCACTAATACTTTTTAGACTTTCACCTGTTTCTGCTTAAAACATCTGTTTCAACTTACCTTGCTTTACATCATCAGGCTGTACATATTAGTCACAGGTTTAAGGTCTAGCTATACATTTTTAATCATAATTCCTGTAAAAGTCTCCGCACAGCACACGTAAGACTTCATTTTTACATAATCAGGACAAAAACTCCAGCACGGTACACATCTCAATAATCAAAAAGTATATTAAAAAGGCTGCTATACATAAAACCTTTTTTTTTTAAAAGATGAATAGATTCTTCAGCCGTCAACTTATGTTTGCAAGCACATGCAGTTTAAAGTTCACGGCTGCCCAATGAAATCATTATGTTGACAAGTAGCAGGCAGCTCTTGTCCAGATTCATCAACATGAAACCCCAAGCCCAGCAAGACAGAATTCACATCTTACCTGGCAGTGAAAGACATACTCTGGAGTTGTTTTTTTGTATTTCATGTTCCACACAAGGGCCACCCCATCAGGCTCATGAGGAGCATCTTCGTTGTTGTTATAGGAGGAAACCAACAACTCTGGGTACTACACACAAAAAGATACCAAGTATTAAAACGTAAACTCAGTCCAATGAAGATTAACCTGGGGAAGTCAGTTGCATTATCATGAGACCACCAGCCTTATTACTGCCACTTAAATATTAAAGAACATTTGGATACAACAGCACATGTCCAAAAGGCCGTGTTTCATACTTTGGTACATTTGGGGCTGCACCAAGTTCTTGCAACTCACATTAGTCTAGGGCAAGGTTCCTTGAGGTTGCCTGCTGCATAGTTTTTTTCTTTCCACACACTGAATCAGGCTCTGGGCGTTCAGTTTACTCAACCATCACAGATGTATATAACGCAGCAGGTAAAGGAGGGGAAAAAAGCACTCCGCTAAAGGGCTTCTATGGGAAAAACGTCCAACATGGTATTTTCGTTACCTGAGATGACCAGTCCAAGCAACTCACAACCCGATGCTTCGACCAGCGTTCATCAAAAAACTGCCTGTTTAAGGACAGCTTAGCACCTGCCTGAATTTCCCTGCAAAGAACAAACAATGGAAGTGGGCGGACGTAGGATCACTTGCCACTAAGATCAAAACAACACACAGCAACACATTTCCAGACTCCCATATTACCCCTCTTTGTCTTCCAAGTCTCGCCCACTGTAGTCAAAGAAAATGTTAATTTGCTCAGAGAGAGCTCTTTCTACAATCCTTGTAGATTGGTCAAAGAAGCTCAAAAATTCTTCAGAATGCAAAATTTGCTGTTTTTCTTCTTCCGTCAATTCATGAGGGGCAGCTGAGGAGGGGGGGGAAAAAAACAGACTTAGGATTTTATTTTCAACTGCCAGAATAAAAACAATGTTATTTATTTTAGTGACTGCAACAGCTGTACTGCTAAAGTGCAGATTTTAGGTGCTTTAGATTTATTTATTTATTTTATACCCCGCCCTCCCTGCCGAAGCAGGCTCAGGGCGGCTTACATAAAACGTTAAAACACATAGATAGTGACTGGAGTTCAAGTTTATTCCTTCTGAAAACTGTAAGGTAAGAACTCTGTATATTTTCAGTGGGGACTCACAAGGTAAGCTTGAATTTAAGAAGAGAGCCCTGTATTACTCTAAGTGTTTTGTACCTTCCTCCTCCTCTTCTTTACTCAAGGTTTTTTCTTCTTCAGGCTCGACTGGTGGTTTTTGTACCACTGCATCCTCTTCATCTTCTTCATCTGAAGAAAGCAAAGTTGTCACCAATGTTCTGACCACCATGCAGAGATATTACAAGTAAAATACAGTTTTAAAATGTATAAATCACTTAACTGAGTACATACACACACAAACACACACACATCACGTATTCCATCTAACTCTGATCTTTTTCTAGAATAGCATGATAAGAACAGGGACTTCACTGATCAATGGGAGAGTCAGCCAGGCAGTTTGGGTTGCATTTTCTCAACACCCCCCCCCCCCCAATTCCCGAGAAATCTAAAGCAAAGCCTCCAAATGTTCAGCGCTTTCCATTTTGAATTCCTAACCTCTTCCCAGTGTTTGTCATTCCAGACAAAACATGCAACCTCCACACAGTTTTATGTAACATGCTGACATATTAATGCTGCCAAATAAATAGAATCAAGTACCTTAAACAGCCCACAGAGCTGCTACTTCCTTGTGATATGAAACCATCAGTGTCTAATGTTTTTCCTCGCCCCCCCCCCACAGGAAAAATGGCTTGCATTAGTTTTCAGGATGCTAGTCAGAAAGGCAAATTTTGCTAAAGATAATAGCGGGCAGATTACATTTTCTTGTTCTGTCATTCTAAATGCAAGTCTCATTATCGGGATCATGTTTGTCAATGAGCATTTTAAAAGCGGAATGCACTTTCCTTAATTGCAACAAATATCGTGAAGCACTAATGCTGTGGAATACTGAGAAGGTGTATGGCTTGGGGGGCTTGGGGGGGGGGTCTTCCTAGGCTCTGGTCTCTGAACAACGCAGCCCTGAACACAACTCCCAATTACTTCAGTGTTCCAGTATATGAATTTCCTCTGCCTTTCCATCCTCTGCTTCCTAGGGTAAGTTTCTCAAAAGACTTTTTTTTTTTAATTGGTTCAACAGCTCTGTCATCTGCCTACGAGAGAATGGCAGCAGGAGCCTGCGGCACGCCTCGTCACGAGTAATGAGGCCGGATTCAACGGGGACTTGTTTGTTGCCGCTGTCCCCGTGACCCACGTTCAAAGTCACCTATGGGAAGAAAGAGACATCCGAGTGGTCAGGAGATGGGAACCAGCTGCCAAGCCAAGGTCCCAGCAGCCAGGCCAGCTGACTAGACAGCAGCAACCAGATGGTACTGCTGGGATTGTCTCTCCCGCTCGGAGGTGGCAATGGGATGGCACAGCATTTTTCTGCCTGACTGCTTCCAATCATGTTTTTTTTCCCTCCAATGGCAAGCCTGTGCAATTACTAGCTCTCCAGGAGGTCTTCAGACAAGCCTTTACCCTGCAAACAAAAATACAGCTTGTAGGGCCTACCAGCTGCCAAACCACACACATAGTGATAGGCTGGAGCGGGGGAGTTGGGGGGGGGCAGGCGGGAATCTAACTCCATAGTGTAGGCAATAAAAATATAACTGTACCTGAAGGAACAAATGCTTTAAATGACACTATATAATGCACACAATAATACAAACTCCAACTTAATCAAAATGATAATGACGTGTGCCAATCCCGCATTACACGAAATGGAGCGATTTTTACGTTCTGACAAGTTTACAGAACTAGGATAAATGGCATGAATGATTTCAATATATGCTCATACTTCTGAACCAAATGGTGAAGGTTAAAATCTTTCCTTTCAAGGGCCTCAATCAGCCACAAAGGAAAACAGTAATCACTGTCTTTTCAGCCAGCCCAACCGCATTTGTCAGCCCTTTCTCCGTCAATGCAGCCAGAGCAATCAACCTGCCAAACATTCAGAATGGAAAAACAATCTGAAAATACAGGGTATAATGCACCTGCCAGTGAAAATGGCCATTTCAAGAAAAGCTAGTGATCTCAGTGACCCTGCTGAGGAGGCGGTGGTGCAAAGGGGAAAGAACGCGTGAAAGAATTCTTAGTGATCTCCACTCTCTTGCACATTGACATTTCCTTACAAAGCATGCCAATTATAGCTTTTGTGCTACTTAAAAAAAAGAAAGCTTTTTTTTGGGGGGGGGCAAATAATCACACAGAGCAACAGAAAGACACTACTCCTTTTTAGATGAATTTGTACATACAATGGACTATTAATCAGAAAAACTGGATAACGGAGGGACTCTATGCTGTGTGCCTCAAACAAAACTGGATTTCCCCCTCAAGCCCTGGGGTGGGGAAAATTGATAAATGCTTAATTTTCATTTAATAGATGCAACATTGTAAATAGTAAATTACAAGGCAATGACTAGATTAAAGAATTTGGTTGAATTAAGCGTGGACTGTTTTCCCTTTGTATGCAGGCTTACAGCAGCAGACAATGACACAGAGTTACAAGTGTGAATTCCCCTCCGCCTAAGTTGTTTTGGGCTTTGCCATCAATTAAAGCAAAAAATTAAATTCCAGTCGCCCAGCCCTGCCACACCATCCTGATTCTAAGTACCATTTTCAGTGACAGGAGTCAAATTCTCGTCAAACGCAGATGGCCAGCCCTTTAAATGCTGAAGTGACCTCTTCATTTACATACATTACAGAGAAAAGATCTAGCCAGTTGCCCCTCCCTCCTCACATTTTTCAATGGTGATGGCACATATTATGCAAATGAGATCCAAATTCCTTCTTGTGCGAGACTCCATGTTTGCTGTCAGTCCCTAGGAATTACTATTGTTGCATTTGAATACTGGATGCGTTATAATAGCAATTACTTAAACATACATTAGATGTTTTGGGGCAGTTTCTCATCTCCACTTAAGACACCTTGTTTTCAGATGTATGTATGTGCCACTGTACAGATGACAGGGAACTTTAACCCTATCATGGTTACATTAGATCGCTTAATAGCATGCTGGCAAATGAATCACACTCTAGAACAAAAAGAAGTCTACCTATAGCATAGAAAACAGCCAGAGTCCAGCAGCAACTTAAAGACTAACAACATTTGTGGCAGGGTGTGAGCTTTCATGAGTCACTGCTCACTTCTTCTGAAGAAGTGCTGTTAGTCTTTAACTAAATTTTGTTACTCTTCACTGAACTCTTGCTCTTTTCTGCTGCTACAGACAGACTAACAGGGCTCGGCTACCCATCTTGACAAAACAACAGCTCTCCTTATATGCGCATACTGGCTTCCTGTCTCCACCCAGATCCAGCACAAGCTCCTGGTCTTTACCTTCAAAGCCATGGCCTCCAGCCTTCTTTCTCCTCTCTGTCTGGCACTGACTTCTTCAGTTCTTCTACACACAACTGTTCAAGCTGCTCACATAAATGACTACTACCTTCTCTACCTTGTTACCCGTGATGCCTACAGCCCCACTTCCTGAACACCTATAACAATGCCTCCCCCTCAGTCTTTCTTTGAAGCTCACTTCTTCTGTAAACTCTTTAGCACAGTCCCTTAGCCTTTATCTCCTTATAAACTATGTAATGTGTAATTGAATTAATGCCGCTGTATGAAAGGGAGAAGAGAGGATTGTAAAAACATCATAGTTAAAATAGTAAAAAACAAAAACCCAAACCCATGCACTGGCTTTTAACGTTAAAACAGAAAGAAAAGATCCAGATCATGAGACTCCTGTGTCACATGCAGTTTGACCCAAGCCCAGTTTTAAATTGTGACTATGTGGGAGCAGGATTTATCTTTTTTAAAAAACTTTTAAAGCACCATGCACCCACTGACAGCAAGATATAAAATCAAACTACTGCCGTCACGAGAAAGCCTAGTGATCAACTGTCATATGTGCCAATTTCTTCACTCAAAAATACAGGCTCCCCAAAGGCTCTTTTTATTAATGACCAAATCTCACACACACACACACACACACACTTTACTTCTCCCTCCTCAGTCTCTTAAATCTATATTTCCTAGTATTAAATGCTGCAAACATAATAGTGCAATATGAAGTACAAATGAAAATCAGATAATGCCAGATAAAGCAGAGCATTCAATGTCTGCTATAAGAGGATGGGGCAGCTATATTAGCTTTGGATTCTGTTAAGAGTCCGTTTTTTGAGAAGCTCCCATTTCCAGCTTTATCCTTCCACCACTTTATCCTTCTTGTGATTCATATCTATGATTTATACCAGTATCGCACTACTGTGTTATTTGTTTCAGTTTCTTTAAAATCTAATGTGAAAAACTTTTAATAGCCACACAAGAACATCACAATGGGAAGCGGAGCTGTCCGTCAAATCATTTTATTGATGAATATTCATTACGATATGCTAAGTGGTTAACTCCATGGTTTTTTTTCCTTGACAGAGGATCTAAGGTTACAAGATAAGCATTAAAGAATGCATAAAAGTAGCAGTTACTCCGAAAATGCCAAATCCCTTGTCAATGAATGGCAGATCTAGGTTTAATGAACCAGTGAATTTTTACTTTCCGTTAACATCAAAATTGTGATGTATTTTGGCGAGATGGAAAGAAAAGCAGGGCTGTAAATTAGACAGCCCCCAGCAAAAACACTGGAGAGTGAAGTTCCAGTTGTCTGTGTAATCTGTTGCTGCAGAGTAGGTTAATCAAAGTTAAATCATCTGTGAAATGGGTGGCTTTTGTTAAGCTGAAGGAGTCTTCCGCTCACATTTGCTATCTGTATTTTGTTTGATAGTTTAGGCAGGTACAGAATAAAAAAAAATTCTTAAAAATGACATCGCTGTAAGAAATACTGTGCTATTCAAGTCACTTTTTCAAAAGTTATACAAGTACCTGGGGGACCCACATCCTGACTTCTTAAAAGAAGGAAATGAGGGATAAGCCTTAGGAAAGCATGACTACTTCTTTAAAAGGCTGATCAAAAAAAGCAGTGGTGGTGACACAGTTCAGAATCACCAACTGGCTTTTGTTTACAACGCGTATAGAAAGCAGCACTCTTTGCCTTACTGTTAGGAGTCCTGCATATCACTGTGCTTATAGTGACATCTGTCAGTAACGTTGCGAGGTAACAGCTTTTGTCTTTCATTCGACAGAAACCTAGTTGCCTGTTACTGATATCAGTGAATAATTGGCAGGCAATCTGAAGTCACTTTGAATCCCTCAAATGAACACATCAACATCCAAACCTCCAGTGACTACTTAACCTAGACACTCTGTGTACTTTTCAATTCATAGGGACATAGGAAAAATAAACATAATGATGAAACTGACACAGTGAACACTGCTGTATTATGGGCACAGAGGATATCACAGGCTCCATCTATGACACAGCTCTACAAAACAGCCTGGCACAAGTAACTAAGAAAGAATAAGGACCAACATCGCATTTTAGTCACTCATTCCCTTGAGACTGTTGATTCACATTCTGGGATAATGGCATCTTATTTCAGAATGCAGGACTGACAGGAATATATGCAAGGTTCTGTTAACACACTGGGTTCTGTCCAGAAATGTTGTATTGCTGTGGGAGCAGTCTGCAAAGAATTAGATGGACAGACTGTGGTTAAGAACATAAGTATGGTCATACTGGGCTAGACCAATAGCCTATCAACCCAATATCTGTCTCCAGCCATGTCAAGAAATGGATGCTTCAGACTGCCTATGGAACAGAGCAATTACGGCGTGATTTCCCTCCAGTTGTTCATTTCTGACATCCAACTGTAACAGACTTAGGGGCACTGAGCATGAGATGGTTACTAATGAATCTATCCTTCGGGACTTTTCTAATAATTTTTTTTTAAATTCCAGAAACAGATCTGTATTTTTGCAGTCAATGTCATCATGCACTGCACCTGTAAGAAGCACTATACGGTCTTTTGCTTCAAGCCTGCAGCCTGGTGCTTCTGCAGACATTCTCAACAGATCAAGGGTACGCAGATTTAGAGTATGTCCCCCAGGAGAGGTATTCACAGAACTTGTTTTTTAGCTTGAAACTACAGCACACTAAGAGCAGAATATTCTTATCAAAGTAGCATTTTTGGTGCTTTATGTGATAAAGCTGGAAACAAGTTTAGCTAAAGTTTGCATTTCTCTTGTCAAATAGCCTGAATCTTCTGAAGGCATATCAAAGCTTGTAAGAACATCTGAAATAAAAGTTGTGAACTTTTAATCAGGAAGTGTGGAGTTACTATCAAATGTTCCAACTACAACCCCATGCTTTTAATAATCACATAAATGAGAGGGAGAAGTGAGATAAGTGATTTCAACTACTAAAACACATTTCAAATAGACGAACTGGTTAAGCAAAATGTAAAATTTGCTGATAACAGCTGCACTCCCCACCCCAACCAAACCAGTTGAATGATATATGCCTTAAAGAACACACATACAATAAGTGAACTTTCTTCTCTTCCTTCACTGGTTACAGAAACACAAGCCAGGAACCAAAGAAGTTATAGATGCACATAGATGACAGTCATGTCTGTGCAGCTTCAGCTTTGAGATTTTTACTCATGTCTAAGAAAAAAAGCCCCTTAGGCTGCCAGAACTGCTGCAACCTGCCACCCCCCCAAAAAAAAAACACTTCAAAGAAAGAATGGAACATGGTGCTTGTTCTCATGGGCACATGTGTATGCCACCTTTGGACGGCTATCATTTTTGGCTCCACTGTTTAACATGTGAAAGAAACCCTACAAAACGTTATTAGAAAGCATTTCCTTGACAAAATAGAGAACCATATGAAAACAGATGTGAGATCAGAACACCTAAGGAAGGAAGAATCCAAATGAAATCTAAAGAAACCATGACAACGGTAATTACTTATCCTGCAAACATTTTTTTTTTGGGGGGGGGGTTGCAAGAGAGGTGATGGATCCAGCCAGGCATTTCCATGAGTACAAGGCCAAGGGAGCATGACTTCTGTACCTCCCCCCTCTCACAGCAGTCCTAAATGCCCGTCGTCCCCCCCCAGTGTGTTCCTGGACCTCTCCTGCACTGGATCCAATTGAAGGTCCCAAATTTATTTCTTGTGGCATAACATCTTATCCTGATTTTGTACTTTTATTTTTTTAAGGATGAATAGTATAAGTGAAATAGATATTCACCTTCCTTTGGCTGAGTCATAACTGGTGTCTGGGTTTCCTTTGTATACGTGACTGTTTCTCGAGGAGGAAAGTCAACTTGTGTAATTTTTGACATCGCAAGTTTAATGGGCCCACGTCTAAATAAAGTGAATAAAGAAATTAGAAGTCATATATTAAACAGAATCACAATTTGTTTCACTTACACAAAACTTCAGACTTTGCACAGACAGACAATTCATGATTCACCATATATACAAGCATTAAGCTAAACTATCAGGGAAATATGAATAATTCTGTTTTTAAAAACAGTTGGAACTACATAGAAAAATAAGTTTTTTTAAAAAAAAATCTGTGCTAAGTTTAGGTTTGCTATGTGACTCCCTAAGTTGGCAAAAACACTGGCTCTCACAACCAATGCTTGCTTAAAATAGTCTGCCATCATAATGCAACATAATACAACACAAAATGTATGCATTCTGTGTTAACATTACACAGTTGCAAGTCATGATTTAACTTTTAAGAATTCTATGACCACGATTTTTCCATGTTAGAATAAAGCAACTGCAGTTATGAACAGAACAGGAAAGCAAGTAATCTGCACTACACAGCAGACTGTGCAATCTATATATTTTGAGATTCCAGTGAAATTATTTGATCCAGGTCATGTTTTCCCAATAAATATTCCTAAGAAAAACACATTTTCCTTTGGTTGCATAAAAAGTTCTAGTTTAATGGAATAAGAATGTCTATTTACTATTTTTTAACTGTTCAAAGCCTTTAACACATTATCTGAGTGACGTAGGCCAGTATTATGCCACATTAAAAATGTGTGACCTTAGGCAAACCATTCAGGGCTAAAATGAGGTTTGAATCCATTTATACCTCACTGTTGATGCTATTGACTACAATGCTACACTGTTGCTTCCAACAGATATCTCAACTGCAAGTCAGTCTAATCAGTCTATGGTATACTGGAGTGGGAACATTGCACAAAGCTATACCAAAGGAAAAATACTGCTAGGGGACAGAACGTGACCTTTATAGAAATCAGTGAGATTTAACAAAAGTTTATAACCAAATGTAACTGGCTTTAGGTTTAGTAATCCTACAGCAATGAGTTCTTAAATCTTTTTTGCTTAATGGGTACATACATAAAATATCATTAAAATGGAATGTTAAAGAATGAGTCTTTATAAAGGATCTTTAAGATCCTAATATAATTTCCCAGATGGCAGGCCAAAAGTGCGCACGCACAATTTTTGCACACTTATCTGCCAAACAGCTCTCCCCTCCAATCAACACAATCCTCCCCCCTTTTAAAACATGGATTTGGGATTCAGTCCTGAAGCAGCTGACTGATATACTGAATACTACACTCTGATAGTGTGAACACAGCCTTAATGGCTCATAGCAAAAGCCATTTTTAAATGTTACTATATTTTCAGAAGTGCATTATTATAAAAACATTTATCATTACACAAAGATGGAAGATAATAAATCTCTGCTGTACCCCAGATCGGAATCAGAATGGAGCTGAAGAACTGATGGATCAGTATCCCAATGCAGCGTCCTGATAATAGAGGTTGAATGAACAACCATGCAGCATTAGCAAAAAAGGTCAGAGATTAGTAAAGCAAGAACATTCTATGAAATGTGAAAGCTATTGTAAGTTTACAGTCACATCATGGCATCAGAAACAAAACGATAGCAGTTAGTGAAAACTGACTCAAAGTTCAGTGCTACAACAATACACACAATAAATATAACTGTTAAAACACAATTCAAAGCAATTAGTAGGACTGCAACATTTAGTTGATCAATCAGTTAGATTTACTGATTACAGACCTTTCAATCAATTAAAAAGATGGTGCCTTTTTAATTGGGTAGAAAGCTTTTAAATTATTTCTATTTTCTAATGCAAGAACTTACAAAGTTCTCATATGGCAAGTGCTACCTTGGAAGAGGATTCCCTAATTCTTCACACATAAGAGGGGATCCCTCTTCTAAGATGGGACTTGATAGAAGGAAGAACATAGGGTTTTTCCTACTTCAAGTATTGTTATTCATACTCAAATGTTTACGGATTTAAATTAATCAACTGATTGAGCAAAAGTTATAATTAATGGACTAAGATTCCTTTAACCAACTGATAGCCCCAGCAATTAAAAGATGTGTCTGGTTGTTTAAAGATGGAAATTTGAGTTGCAGGACAGCACACATAAGAAGACAATAACGGAAGAGATTAACAACACATACACAAATTAACAACTTCATTTAAAGCTGCACAGCTTTTGTAGAGTCATCTGAAATTATGTGTGTTAACGTAACGCAGTCTTGCCCCAAGCATTAAATATGTTCAGGAAATTGTCATATTGGTAGAGGAAATGAGTCAACACATAAACCTTTGGGTACAGGAAAAAATGCTTGTCCACTGGGATATACTACTGCTAGTGTTTCCAAGATGTGACATTGCTATAATTATGGGTTAAGCACTGCCTTGGGCTTATAAATGTCATTTAATTTAAAGCCAACTCAAGACAGTCAATGTCATAGAAAACAGCTTGCTAAAAGAGATCAGTTCTAAGTATGCTTACTCAGAAGTGAGTCCCAGGGAGTTGGAGATTTACTTCTTAATAAGTATGCTTGAAAGGCAACTTTATATTACAAAGGATCTCAAGTAGTAGGTATCAACATACCTTACATTAAATTTAATGCATTATCTGTTCAAAACATTTTTACCCTGCCCCGTCCATCTTTATACAGGATACCGAGTTAGGCTTTTTATATTATTTAGGCTTGCAGTCTAATGGCAATGCTAGGAGGATTAATCAAAGCAATTTTAGATAAGCATATCAGAAATCCTAATGACAAAATAACCTTTTCTATACTTTATCAACAATTTACCGTACAAGAAGGAAAACACAACCTTGCACATAGGTATTATGTTATGAGCACAGAGTCATGGATAATCAGATTTGTGAGAATATACACATCTTGAACAAATGGAATGTGTGCTGATATTAAGCAGATAATCAAATTACTTTTAAATAACCAGAAAATCAACTCAGATGTACTGTTGAGAAATAAAACCAATTTGATTACACATTGCTTTGAATTGACACTGTTACCACAGATGAGGTTAAAAATATTAATTATTCCAAGCCTAAATTCACCAGCAGTCAACAGATAAATTCACAGATGCAGTGCCATTCCAAGAACCTTTTTTTTCTGTGGGGAAGCCTCATTGAATAGCCCCAAGTAGAATTAAGGTAAGAATGCTCCCATGTCCTCTCAAGTATAAAGGTAAGCACAAGAAGTCCCTCTGCCTTCCTCCACCTTGGCTGGGTGAAAAGAAGCTGCAGGGAGCCAATGTTACTGCAGGGACTAGGTTGGTGGGGTAAAGAGACAGAAGACCTCTCTTCTGACCTTCCAGGCTCTTCCTCCCTGAAAAGTTACTTGAATTAGCAGCACAGGGCACTGTAAGAGGACCAAAGGGAAAAGAGGAAAGGCCTGAGATGGCCTCGAAGCCGAAAATTCTTCATCCTTGCTCTTCCAAATACAGACCTTGTAACAATGTAAAAACAGCCCTTCTCGCTTAGAACTACAGTCTACCTGTTTCCCTGTCCTGCTTCTAAAATTGGTCAGATGCCTTCAGGAAGCCCACATACAGGACGTGAAAGCAACAGCACCTCACTTGTTAGACGTTCCCAGCAGCTGGTATTCAAAGTATATGAGAATCTGTCCTACAATGAGTCAGACCTTTGGTTTATCAAGGTCAGTAGCATCTACTCTGATGGACAGTGGCTTTCCAGGGTCTCAGGCAGGCATCACTGGTTACCCGATTCTTTTATATGGAGTTGCTTGGTTCCTTTTACAGACAAAACGGATGCCATAGCCTTCCCCCTTTTACTGGCTCTACAAATGGAGGTTATGTGTGTGGACTCTAATCTGGAAGAACCAGGTTTGATTCCCCAGTCCTCCACTTGCAGCTGCTGGATGACCTTGGGCAAGCCATAGTTCTGTCAAAGCTGTTCTTGAAAGAGCAGCTCTTGAAAGAGCTCTCTCAGCCCCACCTACCTCACAGGATGTCTGTTGTGGGGAGGGGAAAGGAAAGGAGATTGTAAGCCACTTTGAGACTCCGACTAAAGGAAAGGGTATAAATCCAACCACCGCCACCGCCACCTCCTCCTACTTCTATGTAGTTACCATAGCCATAGCTAGACCTATCCTCCATAAAGTTGTTTAAAGCACTCTTAAAGCTACCACGTGAATTCCATATGTTAACCATGCGCTGTGTGAAACAGGACTCTCTTTTGGCCACTCTGAACCTTCTGCCTCAATTTAACTGGGTGACCCTAGAGTTCCAGTACTATGAGATGAAAATAAAAACCTCTCTTTCATCTATTCTCCTCCAAACATGCATAGTTCTAAAACTAAACTTCTTAATCGACTTCAATACAAGTTTTTTAAAAAACCAAATACTTAAGAATTTCCTCACTGGGAAGGTGCTTTATCCTCATTTGTTGCTCTGTACATTTTCTCCTTCATAGATGATATGCCATCCTTCTTAACAGGCATTGACTCAAACTGTACCTGATACTCAAAATGTGGCAGTTATCACTGGATTTACACAAAGGCATTATGACACCTACAGCTTTTCAGTGCCTTGCCTACTAATTCCTAACTCTGGGTTTGTCTTTTTCACTGTCACCATACACTGAGCACTCATCTACATGTAACGTGGAAGATCTTGTGATCAAGATCACTACTATTTTGGCTTGTTTAAGGTAACTGCAGCTGCAGCAGAGCCAGAGCTGGATCATGGCTGCAGTGTGAGGAGCAGGGATATTGCATCAAACCATTGTCCTGATCTCACTCACCCTCCCAAAAGCTGCTATTTGTCCTGCAGGGGACAATGTACTGGAACCCATATGGTCCCTGCTTGTTTTCCCCTCATCGGGCAAACATCTGTTTCCATGAGGGGAGAATTTTCATCAAGAAAACACTGCATGGAAAAAGAATTAAACACCTCTTCGTCCTCTTCTGTCACTGTGACCTCAAACTGAATCAAGTCTTCTCAGTTTTAATACAAAACGCACAAGAGCCTAATCGTGAAGCTCCCATATAGTAAGCTCTGAGCTGATGTGTTCAGTGAAGTTCATCACAGACCTCTTCAGGTAACCGTAACCAATTCAGACCACTGTCGGCACATAAGTGAAGTTATTTCTCCCCCCCCCCAACATACTCCATTTGACCTTTATACTGAATCTCATTCACCTTTTTTTTGCCCAGTCACCAACTTGGAGAGTTTCTCCTGGAGTTCTGTAGTCGATTTTGGATTTCACCACTGCAGCATAATTTGGTGCTAACTTAGCTATCTTCGCTAATCATTCCTAATAAATAGCCCTGATATAAAACCTTGAGGGGATCACTCCCCATTATTACTCTCCACCGTAAAATTATTTATTTATTCCTATCCTGCATGCTTTTTTGCCACAGGACTGGGGTGTGTGATAATTTAGATCAGAAAAACAACGAAGAAAGAAGGTTCGGAAATCCTTCCCCCTCAGTACTGTTTCCCCAACATGTCTGCTCCTCTCCTGAAATGCTCTAAACTTTTAAAAAGTTTGCAAGATGCTGTTTTCATATACACCCCACTTTTCTCTCTGATGGGGATCCATTGGCTTGAATCATTCTCCTCTAAGTCATTTTACCCTCACACGCCACCACAGAGCCATTTCCCTCAAAAAATCATCCTTACATGGTCTAAGTCAGGGGTGTCAAACATAAGACCCATGGAACAGAATTGGCCCATCCAGGGCTCTTATGCAGCCCGCAAGTAACTGGTGCAAGGGAGGAAACAGGAGACTGCTTGGGGGAAAGTGGGCGGAGCCACTCCAACTGTGGCTTCAGCACAGCAGAACAACCTCCATCTGCAGCAGTCAAGCAGTGTGGGAATGTCAGCCCAGTGCTGCACTGCTGGGTCTCCAGTCTACCCAATTGGGTTTTCCTTCAGACCCCCCTCCCAACCAATGCTCCCTCTAAACCGTGGAATCTTGTGAGTAAAAATTCTACTTTGTAAGCTACTGGCATTAAAGTTGTGAGTGAGCAATTTGGGTGCTGCATAAATTAGTTTGTTCTGGAGCCATCCTTCCTGAGCTAGGACAAAAATGTGTGAGCTGGAGGCTAAAAAACTGTGAGCTAGCTCACACTGACTCAGCTTAGAGGGAACACTGCTCCCAACCCATGGGGCCTTGCAGTGAGAATACACCAACTCAGAGCCTACCAGCTGCTGTCCTTTATACACTTTCTAGCTCTGGTACTTGGCATTACATTTTATGGCCCGGCCCAACAAAATGACATTTATGCCAGATCTGGCCATTTTAACAAATAAGTTTGACACCTCTGGCCTAAATGAAGCTCATAAACATAAAACAAGAACTGAATGGCTTTCACTTGATCTGCACATGATTGCATCTAGTCCCAGATCCCTATGCTGATAAAGAATCTGTGCAAATCCATAAAGATTGACACACAGATTCTTAGATTCTATTTTGTGCTGTCATACAGTATAGCCCTAAAGCTTTATAACCTGCAGCAGAATTGGATACCTACCAACATGAATTTGGTATCTGATTACCTTCCTCTCACAATGCACACACTATGGAAATACAGCTTCTGGAAAGGACACAGAGCTGTCATATGTAAAACACAGTCGAAGATAGAGAGTACATTTTTAACATGTGTTTACTCATGTGACAGCATGCCTGGGGGCTTATTGTTAATAAAAAGAAAGAGTCTTCTTACATGGCAACTGGCAGTCAACAATCTATTGCTTTACTGGGCCAGCTGGTGCCAACCTACCCCCTGACAAGTCCTTAAGTGGGTTCTGCACAAGGTTTTACAGGCAGCCCATTCCTACTCCCCCCCCCCAAAAAAAAGAACCATCCCACCCCAAAGTGAAAGCACAGGCTGCGACAGTGAAAACCAAGAACCATCACCAACTATATAAAATACAGCACATTCATGTTACAAGAAAAGCTAAACTGGGGACATGGTAAACATTGTTTGTGCTTCGGCTTACTGGAAAACAACTGAAAGGTTCAGTGACACGTTCATTAAAAACAGAAAGCAAAGTTCAGTAATGCACAATAGCCAAAGAGGAAGGTCAAAGAACCAACTAAGTCAAAGTGCCAACAAGGATCCTTCTTAAAAAGACTAGGGCTATATAGACCAGAATGAAGCAGCCTTCCTTACAGTCAATCAACCTCAAGTGCAGAGCTGACTGGATGTTACATGGGGCAACGTAGGATTCAATAAAAGCACTGGCAAATGGACTGTGTGGGCCACCAGTAGCTATGCTAATTGCTTCTGATCCTCAGTCCACCAGAGAAGTATCAATTTGTGTAAGAACATCATATTTTTTTTAACGTTGTAAAACCAACCACAGAGAGAGATTTCTGAGACATATTACAAACAAATATATAATAGATTCAAGTTGTGATGATGTTAAGTTTTACTGATTTCCTTTTTCTCTCAAAGTCTCAATATTTAAGTACAGAACACAGGAATCTAAATTAAAACACTGTTCAAATGAGCAGCTCTCCAGGATTTATTATTAGACACACATCAGTAGATGAACTAAATGAATCTTTAAGCTGCTTTACAATAAAAATATAGGGCATGGTACCTCTCACCTTCACTGTGTGTGCACACCTACCATTCCTGAAATGGAAAGATCGCATGCTTCAATGCCTTCTGAATCAGAGACCAGCAGCGGCTTTTCCTAGCAAAGAACTTGCTTTCAGCTTTGGTACATTCCTGGATGTACCTCTGAGCTGGAAAGCTAATGTTGGATAGGTTAATAGGAAGGTTACTGAACTCCTGTTCTGTGTAATGACCAGCGTGTGCCAAATAAAGGCAGGAAGGAGTATTCCCATGGGTCCTGTGGTATACTGGGAGGGATCATGCCCATAAATTTTTGAAGAACATATTTATTCAATCATGTAATGCTGTCCATCCTAATATTATACTGCACTCACGAGACCACACAATATTTAGCACTGAAATCTTTAAAACAGCATACCTAGAACCAACAGCACCGTCCCCGGAATCTTGGCTTCCAGCCTCGCTTGGTGTGCTCACAGATTTGGAAGATGGAGACATTGGAGGAGGGACTAAATAGTGAAACAGACAGGTATCCGCTGTTACTAGTCGTAGAGGTTGCACAGCTTAGGATGTTTCCAAATTAATTTTAACATGGAAGCATTAAAAAGTGATGGCAAACAAAAAAATAAATGGATGGAAATGAGTAATAGAAAAAAAGGGGAAAAGACAATGTTAACATTCCATGCTGGAGACTCATGCAGTTCTTGGCATTTAATGCATTTGGGGTTACATAAAAATATAATTTGCACAAAATGCTGGAAATAAAGAAGATGCCATTAAAATGTCTTCATGCTAAGTTAACAAGCTGGCTAACCAGAAATTAAAACAAATAAAAAATATATTGAATTTGAGTTTGTTGCATTGTGTAATTCCAGTGATGGGGGAGGGGCATAAAATGTCCCTCCAGTAGTATTATAAATTTATAACTATTCACTGAAGACTCTTCTGTTCAGCTAAGCCAGGATTTGACTGGTTTTATTCTCAATTTCTAAAAAACCCTCTTAAGGGAAAGCTTGTTTGTCAACATTTTGTGTCATGTGTTATCACATGGATGAAAAATAAAAGTAGCAGCATGTAACCTAAAATAATGCTGTCTGTCCACAGTCACGGAATTCAGATCTATAAAACATCCCATTTAAAATACATTTTATGTCATTTAAAAGTCTTGCTAGTATGACAACTAGGTGTGAGCATTTGGCTGTATCTGATTCCAAAATAATATCCGGAAACTACCTTACTGGTATTTTTCAGGGTTTTTAAAAAGCTGAATACAGGGTTTTTTAAAAAGCTGAATCTGACCAGCTGCTAGTATAGCTGATCCTGCTGATTTTTTTCAGATATATTCAGCTAAACAGAATAGCTGGTGGCAGAGAGGTTTAAAGGACTACAAAGTTAACTTTCACTTCTCCTCTAGGGCACTTTCCAACCTTTTGCTCTGGTTTCCTGGGCAACAGGAGGAAGGGGAAAGAGGCATCTCTGCAGCCCAATGGCAAAAGCACCTTGGGGGGAGCTGTAGTGCCTTAGAGCCAACCATTGTAATGTTTTTGCAAATGGCATTGCATTGAAGGTTTGCAACTTGCAAGGTTGTTGGCTTCAAACGTCAAGCCCAACTAAATAACTACCTTCCTTTCCCCACCCATTTCCTAGGGAACAGGAGGGAGGGGGGGAGGAGCAGTGGCAATTTAACAAATAGGATTTCAGGTTGGGGGGAAACACTGCTCTTCAGCCAATCACAGAAGTTTGTTCTTTTTTAAAAAATTCTTCTGTGCATGGGAAAAGAGCATAAAAGGAAGAGTCTGGCTGAGCTAGACTCCATTGCTGAGAAAGGTTTGGAGTGGGTGCACTGGCTTTAGCTGCTGCCCTGAGCCTGACTCCTGCTGCCAGAGAGATTCTGTTGTGGCCTTCAGATGAGATCCTGCCTGTATGGAGAAGAGTGAAGATAGCGATTGGTTTGACTGAACAACTTTTTAAAGAAAGCTTTCTTATTTTACTGTTAGTTGTTATTTGGGTTTGGTGGGTGGTAGATTGAGGGGGGGTGAGGTCAAGGGCCTCAGGCCTTTTTTAATTTTCCCCTTTGGTTTTATTCTTAGGTTTTAGTTCCTTCTGGTTTTGTGGCTTGCAGTTATTTTTGTGGAGTTCTTTTGTTGTCTGGGCCTGGTGAACATAAGAACATATAAGAACATAGGAGAAGCCAATGTTGGATCAGGCCAATGGCCCATCCAGTCCAACACACTGTGGAATTTCAGACAGCCGATATATTCTGGTTCAGAAACTGTTCCCTAACGGTTTCTGGTCTGACATTTCAGACAGAACCGTTTTAGTAACAGTTCCCTACCGGAATATATTTTCACTTTCAGACAGAAACGCTTCTGTCTCGTTCAGGAAATGAGGCTGAACTGTTTTACCTGCAAACTGCTTCCAAGCGGTCTCCACTTTTCTATACCGTTTCTGAAGCACTATGGGGTGCCGTGTAAAATGCCCCGTAGTGCTTCCTCCTGCGCCACTTTCTTTTCCCGCCCTTTTTCGCCCGCATGGGCGATTTCCGTCCTTTTTTTTTAACGTTCATTTTAGAGTGCTATAACGCTATAACATAACACCAAAAACAGCAACCCCATTGGAATGCCTGGACTCCACTGGGATACATGAGATGGCTACATCTGCCACCTGGAAACAAGTACCTCATTAGACTGCAGGCTTTGGCAGGAAATCAGGGCATCACTGATTGGTGTGACAGATGTTGCTAACCCTTCCATGCCCACTGTGAGTCCTTGCATTGTGGGGCGATGACAGAATCCAGGAAGCTCTGCATTCATCCCAAAGAAATTATGCTTATTTCCAAGGCAGACTTTCTTGTTGAAGAGCTCCTCCAGAATCACCTCCTTCACAATACGGAATGCAGTTGACAGGCCCACACCAAACTGATGTCTGAGTTCCCTGAATACTTCTTGTTTGGCCAGGTACCATAGGGTGATGGCCAGTCTTTTCTCCACTGGAATGGATATCCTAATGTGAGTGTTCTGCCACTCCAGATGGTGCCTCAGGGTGCCAGCTAATTCAAAAAAGGTTGCCCTAGACATCCAGAAATTCTTTATTGATCCAGTCTTTATTGATCCATGTACCCATCACAGTATTGTTCCACCAGTCCTCACTCCTCTCTTTTACCCACCAACGTCGAGGGACTGTATGGGCAGCAATGACAGGTGCCCATGCCCTGATAGATGCCCTCCAATTGTACCTGGAGGGTGCATGGCTCAAGACAGGCATGTCAGTTCTCCTCCCCCTCCTTCTAGAGAGATGAAGGAAGTGCGTAAGCACCTCACTCAAAGCTGCTGTGCTGCTGATCATCATCTGCAACACCTCCAGGATCAGTTACAACAAGGTAGTTATGGAGACCATGACTAGATCAGTAGCCTCTCACACAATCACACAAACCTACTCTAACCAGACAAGCCTACCACTCACCAACTTCAGCCCACAAAGATAAGGGGTTTGCCTCCCTGCCCTTTATACGTGATCTAGCTCTGTGCCAGTCACTTCCCAGCCAATCGCCTCTTGGCATGGATGGATGCACATCAGGCTGGGTCAGCAACATCTGTCTCACCAATCACTGATGCCCTGATCTCCCGCCTAAACCTGCTGTCCAATGAGCATCTTCTCCCCAGCTGCAAACCGGACAACCCATCACCTTCCCCTGACTCACAGTGGGCATGGAAGGGTTAGCAACATCTGTCATACCAATCACTGATGCCCTGATTTCCTGCCAAATCCTGCAGTCCAATGAGGTACTTGTTTCCAGGTGGCAGATGTAGCCATCTCATGTATCCCAGTGGAGTCCAAGCATTCCAATGGGGTTGCTGTTTTGGTGTTGTGTTATAGCGCCATAGCACTCTAAAATGAACGTACAAAAAAAAAAGGATGGAGATTGCCCGCTTGGGCAAAAAAGGGCGGGAAATCAAAGCGGCACAGTCTGAAATGCCAAACCGCTTCAGAGATGGCTCCTTACCAATAGAGGAAAGGCTGAGTGAAATGGCAGACTCGACCGGTTTACTCCAAGACGGTACAATAACGGCTTAAAAACGGCTTTAAAAGGGTAATGTGAAATTCCCCAGAGTCACACAGTGGCCAAAAATACCAGGTGCCATCGGGAGGTCCAGCAGTGGGGCCAGGACACTAGAAGCCCTCCCACAGTTGCCCCCCCAAGCACCAAGAATACAGAGCATCACTTGCCCCAGCCTGAGAGTTCCTATCTATACCTTGTGGCTAATAGCCACTGATGGACCTCTGCTCTGGTAGGTTGTGTGTCTGGGGGAAGCCAAGGGTTCCTTCCTTCTGCTTTAGTTCTTGGCTTTGAATCTTTGCAGTTGGTTTAAAACTTTGTTAACTTATTCATTTTTGGTTCTTTGGGAGGGCTTGTCTGTGTGTGTGGGGGTTCTGCCTGGCTTTTAAAAATCTATTATTTTGCTTGAATTTTCTCTCTCTTTCCCCTTGCTGTTTTTTTCTTTTTCTCTTTTTTGGGGGGAGTTGGGGGGTGAGGCTTTGTTGCTTGTTTCCTCTGCTTCCAACCCCCTTCTTTTTTTGGTCTAGTGTGTGTGTGTGGAGGAACTTTTGATTTAGGTTCTTTTTGCCTTCTCTTCTATCTTAAGCTCTTTTTCCCGCCTTTTTCCCCAGTAGTCCCCCCCCCATATTTCTTCCCTTTAATTTCTAGAAGGTTGTTTTTCTGGGGGAGGTAGGTATTGAGGTTCACTGTTCTGTGTTCCAAGTTTGTGCTTCTGGTTTCAAGGGCTATTGAGTATAATACTTAGGTGCTGCTAAATAGGCTTTTAGTAATAAAAGTATGTTTTAGAAACTGTTTAACTTTTAAACACTTTTAATTAAATTTGAACATAGGGCTTTAGTTCCTCCCTAACTAGGTGTCATGCCTGCCCCCAATCTGGCACCTGGGAGCTCTGAAACGGAGGATTCCGTGCCTTTAACATCATCCGAGGCACGAGAGTCCTTGCCAAACCTAAGTGCCGGAGAGGATGAATACCAAACCCCAGGACAGCTTGCACCTGAAGCCGATCAGGCAGTGCCTGGCCCCAGCAGTACGCCACCCGATTCTCCACCACCTGTCGACCGGCTGAGGAATCAGAGACGCCGGGACTTGGCAACCAGAAGCAAGGAGGCAGGCTTGCGCGGTCGGAGAACAATGAGCCCGGAGTTCTAACAGAATCTGGCAAATTGTGCTGGCAAACTAGTCCTTCAGACCAGAAGCTCTGTACTGACTGACTTCTCGGTTCCTGAATCCAGTCCGCGTTTTGACGACTCTCTGGCTCTTGGTCCTCGGCTCTGTACCCTGACATTAGACACTCGCTTCTCTGGACTCTGACCCTTGGTAACGCTCTGACTACGGCTTGGCTTTGTGTATTGGGATGCTGGCTCTGCTTGTTTTTGATCTTTCTGGCTTTGACTCATGGACTGAACTTTAAACTCTCCCTCTCTGCCCGGCCCCCTGGCTCTGTCATGACACTAGGTCAGTGCTAGGAGGATATTAAAAGAGGTAAGGTTGTGTGTTTCTTCAAAACAGTGGTATAATAGCCTAGATCAGAGGTGTCAAGCTCATTTGTTACGACGGCTAGATCTGACATAAATGTCACTTTGTCAGGCCGGGCCATGTGTGCCTTAAAACGTAATGCCAGGTACCGAAGATAGAAACTGTATAAAGGACAGCAGTTGGTAAGCTCCGAATTGGTGTATCCTCACCAAAAGGCCCCATGGTGGACTGGAGAGCCAGCAGTGCAGCACTGGGCAGATGTTCCCATGATGCTTGACCACTGCAGATGAGGTTGTTTCTGCCATGCTGAAGCCACAATGGCGTGGCTCCGCCCACTCCCCCCCAGTACCCCCTCCCTTGCACCAGTTGCTCATGGGCCCCATAAGAGCCCTGAACTGGGCCGGTTCCAGCCCCTGGGCCTAGATTTAACTTTTTAAAAAGCAGTATGTGACTCTCTGAGCTTCAGTGAAAGCAAGCATTTTCAGACAAATTTCCCTTTAGGTTGTCCTTGTAGTTTTCAGGAGGGTGCTCTTGCATTTCCATAAAGGAAATCAGGCTAATTCCAACAGAATCTAGTCAGAAGAAGTTTAATAAAGAGCCTTAAACTTTTTAAAAGTTCTGCTGGTTCTGCGGCTGGATACTAGTAGGTTGGCACTGGGTTGTGCTGCTAGGCACTATTGCACTGGTTCTGCTGCTGGCCTTGCAAAAATGCTCCCCCCCAAACACACACTTCACTTTCTACTGCAGAGATTCTCTGGGATATTCTCGGGAATATTGGGAAACTTTGATTTTTGTTTTAGTCCAATATACTCAAATCTGCACATCCCTAATGACAACTGCAGTTTTGCATAAAGACAAATCAAAACACACCTACAGTAAACAACTTTTCATTGTGAATTTTCTTAAGGTGAAAGGGAAAATGCATCATTATATATTGTGCTGAAGCAAGGGAAAATGTAATTGAACTTAACGACAGATCTGTTGTTTGAACTATTTAAAAAAATTGAAACTTTTTTAAAAATCTAAGCGATCATTTCTAATTATGATTTACATTTTCAAACAAAAACAATTCCTCCAAAGCCTTTTACTATCTTCAGACCAAATATGAGTGGCAGACAATTTCTTGCCTAAGCATGCACCACTATGCTATGCTATATTTTCAAAATTCTAAAAGACAGGCTTAAGCTAAATGGAAGTATATCCAAGCAACACCTAATCCTATTGTGGAGCTCAAACCACTGGCAAAAGTTGAAAATTGTTTTTGATGTGCTGTTGTGCCATGTTACAAGATGAAAAAATGAGTACTGACAAGCTACGCTGGATACCAACTCAACTCATTGTTCGGGGATTTTAAAACAGTGTATTTGATTTATGTTGAATGATGATGTTCTTTGCTACAATTTCAACTGGTTACTACTGCCATCTATTGGTTATGTAACTGAGCAATGGCCTAATCGTCAAGGTGTCACACAAGGATTTTTTTTTGAAAAATTGGTTTCCCCAAAAAAGATAGCTTGCATAAACTGCAGAAAGCCTGTTTTTGGATGCAGTGGTATGCATACTTAGAATCTTAAGGTGGTAAAATGGAGGATATCATTTTTGAATGATAATGATCAATATAAGGTGGTAAAATGGAGGATATCATTTTTTAATCAATAAAACCTCCCTGCAAGTGAAAAATTAGCACTTCAGGGAATAAACTGGACTATAACTCCTCCCACTGTTGCACTTTTTTTTAACGGGATAGTACCACCTCATATGTACGCCAGGTCTTCATAAATACATTCAAGACTAGGCTGTTAGTGAAGCAAAGCAGAACTCATCTGCTTTAACTAAATTAGCACTTAATTAATAATAGTTAGCCTTAAGTGCTTTGAAGAACTAATTAGTATTTGTTAATTTAAACATTACGGATAACTGATTTATGAACATCTTTTGTTCAAATTACATTATGTGCAGCTGTCCAAATTCGAACTACAATTGCATAAACATAACATTATCTGTTCTGTCATAAACAGACTGCAAAAGATTCCCAAGTCCATAGGAGTGCCATGAACACACTGAACTCTGATGTGCACACACTCTCCTATTCATTTCAATGCCAGGATAGCTCCTAAAAAAAATAAAAAATGAAGCATAGGCAAAGAACTGCCTCGATACTACAGTGAATAAGAATACTCACTGTAGGTAAGCGAACCACCAGATCAGATAATGATATCTAAAAATAAATCACAGTATTTCACAAAAAAAACCTTATGGTCCAAATGCAATCATGATCCAGAGGACCATCCACAATTATCTCTATATGATACCAGAGACAAAAGCTTCTCCTTTTGAATTCAGCCCGTTGTGCCACTATTATACCTAAAATGGGCTTTTGGATCAAGGCCAATTTTTAAACCTTTTCATAGATTCTCTCTATCCTTCCTAACCTGAAAACTAAGTGGAAAAAGGGAAAACCAATCCTTTAAACAAACCCAGGGCCCATTTTCACCTGGTGCTCAATCTGAAACCAACCATTGATTTACTCTAAGCAAATCATTTTAAATCAAGAACACTACTCAGAATGAAGGACTTGTACAGCCAAAGGCTGAACCCTTAAAGCCAACATTAAAAAACAAAACAATTCTTTTGACACACAAGAACAACCAAGTTCTACTTGTACTAAACGTAACTACTGAATTCCATGTTCTTTAACCCTTCACCAATCTATAGGCATATTACTCTCATGTCTAAATGGTTTTTAGAAATACCCCATGCTTATTTTTTAAAGTAACAAAGTACTTAAAGGCGTACTTTTAGTTTTGCTAGTAAAATAGCTAGCATAGCCTAAAAAGTCAGAAAAAACATTCCTTTTTAAACATTTAGGTAGTCACTCGCAATGCTGTGATGCCCCCTAGTGGCAAAGTTCCCTTTTTAAAAATAAGACTATGACTACAGGTCTTGCAAGAAACAGTCTAAAATTTCAGGAATGTAACTGTTAATGCAAAAGTTACTATAGATATTTTGGAAATATTATACTTTATGCATTAAAGCATACAGAACACTAGTGTCTGAATTAATGTCTGAACTTAAATGTATTTTCAGTTCAAAAAGAACTAAACTGTTACTACTTCTATGTGAGTTCCGCGCCAATGCCTTTCAAGGTATTCAAGAACTAGCCCGGGTGATATTTAGCAACAGTTATCTGCCAATCCTGAGATTCGTTTCTTATTTTGCATTAATAGACTCCTACTCATATCAGTTTAATAAAACTGAAGGGCCTTAAGTTTTCTAAAGAAACAACCTTAAAACTCTGACTAGTTGATACATTAAATAACATAGCAATATAACAATTGCAGGCCAATTGCATGAACCATGTATTTAAGGTCTGACATAGCAGTAAATTCTGAAAAGCTATGCTGAATAACTGGTAGCAATAATGAACAAACAAATACATGCATGAAGTTGTAATCCAGCTTTCATGCTACACTCGTGAGGGGAGGACATTTACATGATATGTTTTCATTGGAATTCTTACCCATCGGAGCCTCGGGGGTTAAACCCATGCTTTGGAGCAAGGCTTCAGCTTCCCTCCTCTTCTTTTCAAGGTCAGACTCATCTTGTACAGGAAGAGCTTCTTTCTTCTGATCCGTCTGGAATTTTTTAAATGACAATATTTATGTGACAGTAGTTTGCTTCACACTTCACTTGCACTCAGCCCCACAGCCAGAAATATTTGGTTGGTGGGGCATGGGGAAATTTTGTGCGGCAACAAGAGGGGGAAGGGAGAGGGGCGGCTGCATGCCTTCCCTGATCTCCACACTGCAATTCCCCACTTGGAGATCAGGTAAAAACAGCATTTAAAGGGAACCCTTTAAATGCTGTTTTTCTAGCGGAGGGGGGCACACTTTCCCCGATCTCCAAGCAGCAAAATCGCCAGTTAGAGATCAGGGAAAGCCTACGGCCACCCCTCTCCCTTGCAGGAGGTGAGGGAGAAGGGCGGCTGCCGGCTGCATGCCTTCCCTGATCTCCAAGTGGCTCTGAGACTGTGCATTATGTCCCCGTATACTGTCTCAGTGCTAATGAGTAATGGGCGGTGGAAGTGGGAGGGTGGGTCTCAAGGAGATACTTTAAGGAAATACTGTAAGAGTGTTAATGTTTTAAGCATGTTTGTATTTTGAGTAAAAAATAATATTATTAATTGGGTTTGCCTGTGTCCTTTATAAATTTTATATCTCCCATACCTGGCATTACATTTTATAGCACACATGGCCCAGCCAACAAATTGACATTTACGTCAGATCCGGCCCTGGTAACAAATGAGTTTGACACCTCCGGAGTAGATGAATGGCCTATCCTGGACAGTTCTTGATCTCACTACAGGGCAAGGGGATTAAGAGTAAAGATGGGAATTTAGGTAGTGGCCTACTGTGATAAGCACCTTAAAGTTACAAAGGGACAAATGCCAATTTTTTTTCTGTGCTTCTCAGCTCTCTTGCTATCCCTGTTAGCTGCTCTTATGGCAACTGTAAAACTCTGAGCCAGAACAACGGGCAGTACTCCAATTTCCCCAGTGGTTTCATGCAACAATGACCACTTAAAAGTTTTTCCATACATAATCATTTTTGACGGTACACTGTAAACTAGCATGTCTAATATGAAAAAAGAATTAACCAACTTAATAAACATATAACAAAAGAGAAACTAGAACTTTACTAATGCAGTGGAAAGGGGGTGAAAATCAAGTCTGTAAACAGAAGATCAGACAAGTTGCTGTGGTATGGAAGAATCAGCTCCAGGAAACTGGGCAGAGCCACTTATAAAAACCATTAAAGATGCAATTTTTTCCTTGCTCCTGTATTTTCAGGGCATCAGGATGCTACAGCTGGTGAACAAAGGTGCACATGGGCAAGCAAGATATTAAAGTATTATGGCAACTTTAACAGACTTAAATACAAGATGAGAAGTTCTTCACACAGGTCACTGAAGGAAATCTACATTTAACTGATTCTGTAAAATCACTGCACTCACCGCAAGCAACTTCTTTTATGTGAAAGGGCTTAGGACCATTTGGAGAGGATATTACCAGTCCTGGAAAATGTACCAATATTTGCAACTGACATTTGTAAGAAGTCTGCGTAAGTGATATCCATGTAAGAAGTTCATTTCAGACAATCAGGACAGGTTCATAAACATTTCCTCTAGATCACACTTTGTGAAGAAGATTTTTCTGCATTTATTGTGACACAGAATTCTGTCAGCTAGACTCTTCATTATCAAGTGCATAAAGTGCTATGGCAAGATGTACAACCTGCTGATACCAGACAGCACAGATGAAAGCTGACTCCTACTCAAACAAATCAGATTCAGAGACATCTATTTTATTTATAACTTACTCAGATTGAACTCTGTTTGACACTTATTTTGTGTCAGAGTTCAATCTGAGTGAGTTATAAGCATTATGGAGGATAATTAGCTTTATTTAGTGAAATAATTAAGAACATAAGAATATAAGAGACGCCAATGTTAGATCAGGCCAAAGGCCCATCCAGTCCAACACTCTGTCACACAGTGACCAATTATACCAGGTGCCATCAGGAGGTCCACCAGTGGGGCCAGGACATTAGAAGCCCTCCCACTGTTTGCCCTTTGTCTTTATTCAGACTGAGAGAAATAGTGTCAAGTGGGCTAGATGGCTAGTGACCTCATTTCAGCCATAGAACCAGTGTTGTCTAGAATATACTGGTCTGGTTCAAATCCCTGTTCTGTTGCAAAGTTTGCTAAGTGATTTGAGGTCAGTACTTCTCTCAGACTAACCTCCTTCACAGGGATACACTATGAGGATAAATGAGCAAGGAAGAACCCAGTACGTTATTCTGAGTTTCTTGGAGGAATCATGGGATAAAAATGGAATGGCTAGATAGATTCAGCCTCCCGCATGTAGTGGCAACTTTGGTGTCATCAGTAGACAACACAACTTGGGAGGCCCACAAGGAACCACAGGAGGGGAACTGGGAAATCCCCCCCTCCCCACAAGATTTTCTCCTACAGGATTCTTAAAGCTTTCAAGGGCTTGAGCAAGCTCATTTCCTCCCCCCTTTCCCCCTCCTCTGACATTCAACATTCCATGTTCTTGAAACATATTTAGCTTCTTTTTTTGGTTAATTTAGTGTCAAGTTTTTCTGCTTATCTGGAGAACTCCCTGAATATACATAGACTGCTACTTTGTGTGTAGCCTAGTTTTGCTGCTTGTATGACTCACACAAGGTTCAGCCACTTTACTATTAAATATTGTGATCATGGGATATTCAAATGCTCCCTTAATGACATGGGAAGGCTCTCATTTTTAAAGCTTCATTATAAACAAGCAGGGCTTTTAAAACAGGGTAATACTCTGCTATAAATTCTCTATCAAATATTACTTAAAAATTAGCCCTTATTTCAAGGATTCCCATGCTAAACTTCACCCAACAGAGATGAAATCTAATAATCCATAGTTTCAAACATGAACTTGAACTGCAAGTACCATTAAATGTGACTAATAAAGAGCATGCAATTAGCTCACTTTTCTGTAATCTTTGCAATGTGCATTGTACTATGAGAAATTGCAGCTTCTCATTGACATAGAGTGTTGCTCAGTCCTATACTGTGTTGGGATACCTCCAAACTGTATAGTCCAAGTACACAAAACTTATGATCAAGAGCCCTGACTCTTCAAAGTTTAATTTCAGCATGCCTTAGAAGCTTTTGATGAAATGAGGCCAGGGTTCCCAAGCAGGCTGTGTCAAAAAACAGCATAACTGCCAATGGTGCGCTTAAGCAATTTCCAAGGTTTCTTACGTACCAATTTTCTTTCTTCAACATATTAAGATTCTGAAATAGCATCCTATGATTCAGAAACTGTCCTGAAGGGCTCTGTACCAGTCACGTAACAGTTAACTATGAGTTTTATTCACAGCTTTTCACTATCACAAAAGGCTATTTACATATCCAAGCATTTTTTTAAAAAAATGTTGGATAGTGTCTTCGGTTTAAATTTTTCAAATGTGATTTTGGGGCAGGGGGTACTTGGCAGCAAATTACCTAATTAATACAACACATCCACTAGAAAGATGACTCAAGGGCAATTCAGCACTTCAATGTTTTGGTAATCCTAAATCTCCAGTGCACATGTACACAACAGTATTCAGTATGCCTAAGGAAGCCGCCTTCTCCCCAGAAAAGCCTCTTCTTGTAGAGAAAGAGCAGCTAGTGGAGGAGTTCCTGCCAGCCAGAAAAGGTGCTGTTATTCATGGTGGGCAATGAAGGAACAGGAAAGGCTTTGGGAATAAGATCAGTGTAGTGGTTCCTTCTGCAGTATTGTTTTGTCAGTCCAGCCTCTAAACTGATCTTATCTCCAGAGCTTCTATACTCTAGAGGCAAGCTAAGTAGTGAAAAGGAGAGTAATACGAGAAGCTGTAACACTGCAGGAAGAAGGAAAGTAGGAGAAGGGAATGAGTTCAGTTTGCCATCCACTCTCCACCTGCTGCCAACAAATCTGAAGAGCTCTAACCTATCCATAAATGATGATGTTTGTGCCAAACAGACTGGACACCATTACAACATCTTTTAACCTCTGCGAAGTTTCATTTTTCTTCAGTTTCAGAACAGGATCATTTTCAAATTATCTAATCCATTTAGTTTATAGAATTTTAAGAGCATCCATTCAGGCTAATAAAGCTTCCTCAAATGTTTCCTGTGTTATGGTACATGCAACTAGTTTTGGAGGGGAAATCAGGTAAATAATGTTGATATTTGAGGTTTCCCATCTTTAGCCAAGATAAGATAAGATGCCTATGACTTCACTTCCTGCACCTAATAGCCTGTTAGAAGTTTTTCTTTACAAGTTCAGTCATTTTCTTAACGACAAAATGTGGAATACTTATTCACAAGCAATATATTTCCATATCCCATAATACATGATCTTTAGCTTGAAATACATTAATTCTTCCCAGTTATGGTAAGGACACAAAGTAACTCATAGCATACAAAATGAAGTGTGTACGTTTAAATTTAAAGATCTTTCACTGTGCTCATAAACTGTTAATCTGTGCTACCAATATAATTATTACAGCTATAACAGATGATGGAATCTTCTGAAGGATGTAAATTTGCAAAGTTCTTACTTCCTTTTTCTTCCTTTCTTCCTCTTTTCTCTTTTTCTCCTCTCTGATTTGAGCCAAGCGTTGCTTCTTGCGCTCCAGTTCTGCTTTCAGTTCACTTTTATCAGACATGATTAGAATTCTGCCAACAACAAAAAGTTACATGCAGAATTATACATAAAGAAATAAAAAACCTTTGTGAATCTATCCCACTATGATTACTTATCATAAGTAACTGTACCAAAATATGAAAAAGACTAAGAAAAGGTACCCTAACTCATGCAAACAGCTTTCTCGCCAGCATCACAATTTTGGACAAAACATCAGCCCAGAGCCAGTTTGGTGTAATGATTAAGAGCAGCAGACTCTAATCTGGGAGAACTAGGTTTGATTCCCCACTCCTCCACCTGCAGCTAGCTAGGTGACCTTGGGTCAGTCACACTTCTCTCGGAGCTGTTGTCTCAAGAGCCGTTCTCTCAGAGGTCTCTCAGCCCCACCTACCTCACTGGATGTCTGTTGTGGGGAGAGGAAGGGAAGGAGATTGTAAGCCGCTCTGAGACTCAGAGTGAAGGGCGGGGTATAAATCTAGTTCTTCTCCTTACTGCATTATTACTATGTGCACTAGTCATACACCCCAAGATTAAAACCTTCTTGCTTAACCCCTCCCCACACTATTTAAACAAAGAGAAGAAACCCAGCTCTAATGGAGGACACTTTTAGATCAATAAAGTATAAAAATAAAATACGAAAGGAAAAATTCATCTGTAATCTGTTCAATTTTGATGCAGGAAAGCAGCTGATGTTGGCAGAACTGCTCAAAATATTTTTTGAGAGAAAAGAACTAATTTTAAAACAGATCAAAAATGCCTTCTAAGTCACATCAAGAGGTACTGTAAATGCACTGGTGTGCATGCATGTTAAAAATAAATTAAAATAATATTTCAAAATAAAAGAGGGGGATACACCAGTGAATTTATCAACATGATATTCAAAGCTGGTTACTTCAATAGCAAAACCGTAATAGTTTCTTCATTCATTATATAACTAAGAATGAAAACACTGCATGAAGGTGCCAGCAGCTTGTACTGCTGCAGAGTCATGTCTTCTGAACATCTGCACATAGAACTGTATCAGACATGTGACCTTGCAAAGGACTTGGGGTAGGTAAGAAGTTTAATGTCCCAGATACAATTATTTCCTAAAATGAGAGGTATGGGCTCAAGCACACCTGAAATTAATATATTGTTCAGCAAACCCTTAGTCTCAGCTCTAGAATTACAGGATTGGGGTAGATGGAGTGAATAATTTGCTGAACCTTGCTACTTTAAACAGCTTTCAGGCTGAACCCTAATCAGGCCTGATTCAGAGTAAGGCTTTAATCCTGAACACTCTACAATAGCGATCCTCGGTGTGGTGATGGGTTTTCTCGCACCCACTGGGTTCTTTCCCAAAGCAAAGAGCCAATTCTGGCGTTCCTCCATCTCAGTGTAGCAAAAAGGTTCAGAAGAGCCAGAAGGCATCATTTTAGTATCTGCCTGGAGGGCCATTTCAAAAACAACTGCCTCCACTATAGGAGGACACTTCTCTTGGAACTGCCCAAACTTTTCGTGATTGGTCCCAGCCCCTATAGCAGGCATTTTTGGCACTGTCTATGACCAGTTTTCAAAGTTCTGAAAGCATCCACAAATTCAACAAGGATGGGGACTCTTGCTCTAGGACATTAATAGAAAGTAACTTTTATGAAACCCATTGGGTCTCACATCTGAGTAATACACTCTTGAAGACATGTAGTACGTTGATTAAAGTGTCAGACTAGGATCTGGGAGATCCAGGTTTGAATCCCTACTCTGCCATGGAAGCTTACTGGATGACCTTGAACCAGCCACACACATTCAGCAGCCTAACCTACCTTACAAGGCTATTCTGATAAAACAAGAAGCGGGGACCCGCGATACTTGTGCGGGGGAGAGAAGGAGCTCCACGTGGAGGAGGAAGCAGCTGCAGGTGAGTCTTCTCCCCCACCCACCCCACACAGATGGCAAGGTCCACGCCTGCCAATCCTTCTCCCTCCCCCAACCCTCCTGGCACCGACAGCGAGGCAAATCCTTCTCCCCTGGCCCCCCTGCACCAGCGGTGAGCCACGCGGGCCTGCCAAGCTTTCTCCCCCCCCCCCGAGCACCGGCGACGAGGCCTGAGCAGCTCCCAGATGCCAGGCCCGCCGAGCCTCCCTCGCCCAATGGCCAGAGCATTCTCTGTGCATGCACAGGGAACGCTTTTACTGTTGGGGGGATTTAAATATCCCCCATATATTTTTTCAACTTTTTAGATTTTTCTGCACACCTGGGGACTGCTCCAAGTGTGCAAGAAAATCTCTCTGCCCCCCCAAGTGCCCCCAATGTGCGGATTTAGATATCCGCACGGAGGGGGCAACTTAGATATATAGATGGAGGAAAGAAGAATGATGAAAGCTACTTAGAGTTCCCACTGGGGAGAAAGACAAAGTATAAATGAGGCAAATAAACAAATGACACACATTGATGACCTGAAGGTAACCAGAGTTATTGTCTTTGTTTCCCAGCCCAGAAAACAGAAACACACAGCAACCTGATCCTTGTAGCCTACTCCTATGCACATTTATTAAGAACTGGGTTCAAACTTGGGTGGTGGGGTGGGTTGCTCAGAGGGAACTGTACACAAGGGGGTTATAAGCCTTGCAAGTCTATCCTATGGTGGTGGAAAGTGCCATCAAGTCACAGCCAGTTTACGGGGACCCTGTAGGGCAGGGGTGTGAAACATGCGGTGGAGGGGCCGAATTAGGCCCCCGGAAGGCTTCTATCAGGCCCGCAGTGGAACTGGCTGTCTTCTGCTTCTTCTTCTTCCAGTTCTGCTTCTTCTTCTTCCAGTTCTGCTGCTGCTGCGTCATCATAGGTTTGCAGCTTACAGACACACATGAACAACATACTCAAGATTGCCACAGCACAGACATTTTGATGCAATAACTCAGAGCAAGAGGTGTCAGTTATCAGACACTGTTAAATAAACAAAATTTTGTAAGAGTGCTAACGTTTTAAGCATGTTTTTATTTTAAGTTAAAAAGCCCTTTGTGTTTGTGTCCTTTATAAAGTTTATATCTCCGCTATCTGGCATTATATTTTATGACACACATGGCTCGGGCCCAACAAGATCTCATTTATGTCAGATCCGGCCCTCATAACAAATGAGTTTGACATCCCTGCTGTAGGGTTTTCAAGGCAAGAGACAAGCAGAGATGCCTGTCTTTGCATAGCAACCCTCGATCCTGTTGTCTGGAACTTTTTTTTTTTAAGAGCGTGTTCCTTTTATTTTAAATACTATGATGTCAATTGTGTACTATTATTGCTTTTGAGCTGCTGGTTATGAGTGTACAGTTCTTTCCCATTCCACGTGGAATGACTTTTTCTTTGGGTTCTCCATGCTCCAAAATGATGTAAGGCATTTCTTCCTGCTGGTGGAATATAAAGCCCTGCTTAGCAACTTGTTTTAAGGACTCAACACTGATGAATGCGGTGGACAGTGGGGGGGGTGCATTCTAATGTCCCATTGCCAAGAACCTCTACCCCACATGCACAAAAGAGCCAGGGTTGTGTAGTTGTTAAGAGTGTCAGACCAGTATCTGGAAGACCCAGATTTGAATCCTCACTTGTGCATTGGAAGCTCACTGGGTGACCTTGAGCCAGTCACACTTTCTCTGCCTCATCTACCTCACAGGGTTGTTGTGAGATCAAAATGGAGAGAATGATGTAACTGAGTCCCCACTGGGGAGAAAGGCAGGGTATAAGTGAATTAAATAAATAAACAAACCCTGGACTTCCTTGGTGGTCTCCCATCCCAATATTAAGTAGAGCCGACTCTGCTTCGCTTCCCAGATCAGTCTGGGCCATCCAGCCTGGAATGATCCAGGTCTGTCCTACACAGAACTAAAAAGTCACTCAGGCAGGACACTGGAAAGGCTGCAAAATCAATTCCCTAAATCAATACATACAAACACCACAGAATGCCATTTACCAGGAACAAACGAAACGACACAAACAAGCGTGCACTTGGGTCACTCCTAACAAAAGAGCATTACACCGGCTTCTTCTTTTTTGGGCACTTCCTTTGAACCAATGTTGTGGGCTACCTGCAACCTCTTAATCTAGAAACGGACACGCTTAAGGTCCACTGACAAGGCTAAATCTAGACTGACAAGGCTGCTTAGGGGAGCCGCCCAAAGGCCAAACCCCCACGGACTGCAGGAAGACGACGCGCGCGTGGCAGGCTCAGTTTCTGGGCGCGGCCCTCACAATGGTCAAGTCTCTCCTCCCCCCCCCACTTCCGCCAGCCTCAAAAGCCGTAATGAAGCTGACCGTGGGGCGTTCCTCCGCTCAGGCCACAGTTGCCACCCCGGCACTTTGTTCCGGCTCCGTCAGGCGCTTCGGGAGACAGAGCCCTATAGCAAAGCCCACAGAAGACGGCTTAGCGTCACCTGACAGGACACGCATGCGCCAAAACGATCCGGCGGCAAAGGCGACCAGTCGTTCTTCTGTGTTAGTCGAGTACAAAGCAAGGCGCGTAGCAAGAACCTTGTTTCTTGCCCCGTGCGCCTGTGTCAGTTTTCTTACGTTGCCAACGGATAGCGAACCTATGGAACCGAAACAGGGAGCAAAAAGAAACTACAAAGGAGGTGCCATATTGTTGTATCGATTAGCCTCTGTTTCTGATAGAGTTCACAAGGGAAAACAAACTATACTTCCCAGCATGCTGTGCGTCAAGAGTAAGCGCCTTCCTAGGGCCTGCTGTCAACGAGTGGGTGGGTACAGAAGTGCATCCTGGGAGCTGTCATAGGAGGGCCGCCGAGCGTTGCAAATTGGAAAACGTAGTTTTTTGTCCGCAGAAGGGACGCATAAAAGAAATGAGCCTTGTACGAGTTGGACGGTTGAGTTTGTTTTGTCAAAGTGCAAACCCATTCGCTGCAGATTTCCTGTATAATTTTAGTGCTGGTAGGGCTTTCTGCCTCCTTTTCCTTAATATGTACTCGTCTCATCCACCTTTTTGGTGGCGTGCTTTAAACCTGATTTCAAGTGCGGTCAATAAGAGGACGTAGGTCGTCAGCTTCTGTGACCCTTGCCCTCGCATTTGGTCCTGAAATCTGACGGCTACTAGTTATAGTTGCTGCATCTTTAGGTTCGGTGCCACAACTCCCATCCAGTAACTTTTCTTCTGAAGAAGTGACGGAGAGTTACTGCTCCCCTGTTCTTGACACCCCCTTTGGCTGGAAGCAGATTTAAATTGGGTTTACTCCTGAGTTCATGTGTGTATAAGATTGCGGCTTCCATTGCATTGCATTTCAGGAGAAGAAACATCACAAAAGTTGAAGGATTTTTTAAAAGGAAGCTGGAAAAAGATGCAGTAAGGATAATCAAAAATCACGAGGAAGTTTAAGATAATTTGAAATAGATTATAATAGAAATAAAGTTGGGGGGAAAACCTAAAGCTGTATCTTGCTGCTTCAGCTACTCCTAACAGAAGCAGAATATGATTTTTTAAAAGGAAGCTGGAAAAAGATACAGTAAGGATAATCAAAAATCATGAGGAAGTTTAAGATAATTTGAAATAATTATAATAGAAATAAAGTGGAGGGAAAGACCTAAAGCTGTATCTTGCTGCTTCAGCTACTCCTAACAGAAGCAGAATGTTAAAACTGCAGTCCTGTACACATGCACCAGAAGAAGAAGAGATTGGATTTATACCCCGTAGGTGCAAGTGGAGGAGTGGGGAATCAAACCCGGTTCTCCCAGATTAGAGTCCACGCACTTAACCACTACACCAAACTGGCTCCAACAGGCTAGGTTCTGCTTCTCTCCAAGAGCAACCAATGAGAGTAGACAGAATGTTGAGAGAAGGAGACTTGAAAAACAGCAGTTGAAAGACAGGGGTTAGTAGTAGAGAAGCTGACAGCTTAAGGGCTGAGGTAAAAAGGGATTTTATGACTGGGGAACTCTAGAAGAACTGTTGGGAACAGGCTGAAAATAGTAAAGTTATAACTAATGGATCCCAATTGCGGTGTAGGATCTCAGTGCAAAAGTTCAATGGAAGTGAAACATTTCTTAAACTTTACTTTCCTCGGTGTTTTGTTCTTATAAATAAAAGTTTCTTGTTTTGGTTAACCCTTTGGGCTGCATGTCTAAGGAAAAGAAGCACACACACACACAATTTAATATCTTGGTTTATACACATATATTATAGGATATGAATGAATGGTGGCAGAGTGATTGGAACAGTATTTGAGCCCCAAACCCAATTGCTCTGTGTGAGGGCTGATTATAAAAAGGGACTGAGCTACCCGGTCTGTGGATGTCAATGGGAGTGAGAGAAAGGGCTGACATGTGATATGGTCATGATTCTCTGTAGATTTTAAAAGAGACAAGAAGGGTGGTGAGTGTGATGTTTTGACCTACTTATTACCCATGATCTGAATAAGTGAGGTTGTAGAAGGTGGTAGGCACACTGTGTGAGTGGACAAGGGGTGTCCTATGCCCCTTGCAGTGAACTCAGTGGTCCTTACTTCTGAGCAGGCATGCTCATGGCTGGCCTTTACATTAGTTAATTGCTTAGCAATACACTTCTTCATTTATATGTTGCCTTTCTTCCCAAATGGGGACCCAAAGTGGTTGACAACCAAAAAATTAAACACAATAATTAATGATGGGAGGAGGCTTCTAACTGCAGAGTGGATCCCCCTCCTGAGTCAGGAGATCTTCCTGCCTGCTCTAGGCTACATCCTTCAGGCCAAGAACCCTTTGGCTTGAGCCCAGGGGTTTGTACCGTCAGCCACACCCAAGCCTTAAGTACCTGCACAGGACAGAAAGAAACACTCTGCCTGGATGTTACAAGCTGGCAGCCATCTTCCTACACACACACACACCCTTCCTGAATATGGGACTGACTATTTTGAAACTTTTGCTCCAGTTACCGACCAAGCAACTTTCAGAACACTTCTTAATGTTGCTGCATCAAGAGACATGATAGTAGAGCATCTTGATGTAAAGACTGCATTTCTCAATTGAGAACTCTCTGAAGAAATTTACATGGAACAACCTGAAGGTTTTAAAGTCAAAGGACAAGAGACTCAACAAAGGACTCTATGGGCTAAAGCAAGGAGCAAAGGCCTGGTATGACAAAATTACTGGACTGTTGCAGAAGCAAGGCTTTGAGCAAGGGAAAGCTGAACCTTGCCTGTACACTAGAATTAAAAATGGACAATACCAGTATGTTCTTGTTTATGTTGATGACTTGATCATGGCCTGTCAAAACAGAGAGGACATCAAAGAAATAGCTGATGGACTGAACAAGGAAGGTGTAATGTATTCAGCCTGACATGCCCAGACTTGCCCGGGCTGGCCAGGCACAATTCCTATGTAGCTTCAGTCGAAAGACAAAGGATCCGAAGGATCCTAGCCGGCCCAATCAAAAGGGCTAGCTTCCCAGCCGGGAGACCAATGGTCGCCCGGTTACTGTAAATAGCCTATCGGGAGTAGGGGGTGTGTTTAGGTGTGCTTGGTGGCGGGTTTTCTGAATGCATATAAACCGGCCTGCGAGCCGGTCAGTTGTCTTTGTCCTGAACTAAATAAAGGTATGCTTAGCTGAAATCATTCTCCGTCTGCATACTTTTCAGAAGGGGAAGTCAAACAGCTAGGAGATGTACAACACTACCTCGGAATGCAAATTGAGAGACTCGAGGATGGAACTTTTCTTCTATGCCAGAAACGAAACGACTTTATAGAATCTATTGTTATGAAAAACTGCAAAGCATCATCCATACCACTGGAACCTGGATATCTAAAGGAAAAGGATGGAAAACCACTCAAAGACATTGGAGAATACAGAGAAGCAGTTGGAAAACTTCTCTACCTGAGCAAAACCACGAGGCCAGATATCACAGTGGCAGTTGGCATCTTATGCAGGAAAGTGAGTTCGCCTAATCATTATGATTGGAGTGCAATAAAGAAACTGGCACGGTACCTGAAAGGAACAATGGACTTACAACTGAGAATTGCACCGTCTGAAGGGCCCAGACTAGTCGTATATATGGACGCCAACTGGGGAGAAGAATCGGACAATTATAAGAACCCAGATCTGGCAATTCTCACTTCATCCCCTGCTGGTGGCCAGGGGGGACCTGGCAACCCCACCTCTGCAGGAAGAGGCACAGCAAGCAGGACTTGTAACGAAGATATAGGTAGTAGAACTCTCAACACTAATGGAAATTTGCAACCTTATTATATCTCATGATATTTAATCATTTCTTGAAATATGAAAATGTTTTGGATACAGCCACTCAGATATCTAGTGTTCAGAAGTTACATGCAATCATATTTCTGTCAGAATTTGCTATATTTTTTCTCCAAAATTTCACAATTGTTTTGTTGTTCAAAGATGGCAAGTTTCAGTAACTAGTTCTGATCCCCTGCGGTGCAGCATGTATTGACAGAGTTTCAAAATAAGAAACGTATTAATGCCTTTAAGTGGGAGTCAGCATCAATTTGCATTTCCCCTGAGAATAATACGTATCACACTGGCTGGGTTGAAGTGGGGAGGGCTCATACTTTGGGAGCAGTTGCTTAAAGGAACATGATCCATAAACGTTTTTAGCTAACAGGCTGAACATAACATAAGGAAATAAGACGGGCCTTACTGGGTCAGACCAATGGTCCATCTAGTTCAGTGTTGGCTCCTGGCACTAAGTTTCATTGGTTTCCTACCTCTGAATGTGGAAGTTCCCTTTACTCACCATGGGTAGTAGCCATTCATAGGCCTATCCTCCACATTGTGTCTTAACACCCATTTGGAGGCCTATCCTCCAAATGTGTCTTAACACCCTTTTAAAGCCATCTATGCTCATTGCCATCACAATGTCCACTGACAGAATTCCACGGTTTAATTACTCGTTGAGTAAAGAAGCATTTCCTTTAGTCTGTCCTGAACTTATTGCCCATCCATCACCTTCATTGGGTGCCCTGAGTCATAGTGTTATGAGAGAAGTAGAAAAAGCTCTCTCTATCCACTTTCTCCATCCCATGCCTAATTTTATAAATGTCTATATAACATCGGAAGCTAATCAGAGAACTTTGGCTTCCCAACAGTCTGTATTTTCAGTGCAAGCTAAATTATCAGACTTTTTAAAAAAAAAATTCCCTTCATTCTCACCAGGGAAAAGCTTAGGATGTGTCAGCAATGCGGGGGCCATGAATCAAGAAGGCTGAGTGAATTGCTGACCACCATTTGCTAGGTGAGGAGACGGCACAGCCCACGTTGCTTAAAAGCAGGTTGACAGCAGGATGTATCAAGGCATTCTCAGGGCGATTTTCTACTTCTGCTGGTCGAGGTGGTGCAACATGACACCATAATATCAGTGTCAGCTATACAGATATCCTTAACAGCTGTCTGTCACTTGCTCTCTGGCAGGTTTGAGAAGCTTTAATAGCAATGCTCATATAAGGAATTCAGTTCCCATCATTGGTTGAAGCATGATGTTCAATTTATTGATAAAAAAATAGGAGTAGGGGACATTCAAACTCAGCTGTATTAATTAACTAGAGAGATAAATTATAGGAATGGGGGGGGGGTGTCAA